CCATTGTTGTATGTCCAGATACCCCTTTTACAGATAAATTGGGGGTCCAGGGGAGTGGGGCACTAATTGGTGGGCCTGATGGATAGAGCTTCATCAGAGCTAAACAAAAAAAAAATCTGAAGCTCCTATGTTCAACAGTTTCTGAGTTATAAAAATTTTTTGAATGTCCAGATAACCCTTTTTCAGATAAAGTTGTGTTTGGGGGGTGGGGGTTCCGTTCCTCTGTCCGTTTGTTTTCTTCCTCTTCTTTCCGCTTTCTTTCTTTCTTTTTTCTCCCTCTCCCCAGCCACTTGGGCCGGCTTCACTTGGGTAATCCCAAGGTGTTCCCTGGCTAGTCCCTCCAGCGTGTCCTGGGTCTTCCTCTGGGCCTCCTCCCGGTGGGACGTGCCCGGAACACCTCACCAGGGAGGCGTCCAGGAGGCATCCTTACCAGATGCCCAAGCCACCTCAACTGGCTCCTCTCGACGTGGAGGAGCAGCGGCTCTACTCTGAGTCCCTCCCGTATGACTGAGCTTCTCACCCTATCTCTAAGGGAGAGCCCAGGATTAAGATTAGTCATTATCAACAAATAATCCAAGTTCTAACACATATTGTGAGCCCTTTAATGACGTTGTGTGTAATCATAAAATTATCATATGACAATGTTTTCTTCATCTCCTCCCTAATTCTTCTTTTATCAATTAAAGATAATGGAACAAAAAGTTCATTAACATAAAAACTGAAGCACCTTTTTTACTATTCTACAATTATTCTACATTTCCTATTCACTCCTCCTGACACTCTGGAAATACTCAAAAAAACCATAAAACATGTATTCACTTTGTAGTTTGTGTCTGTCTGCCTGTCTGTCTGATGAAGAGTGCTGCTGTGTACTTCCTCTTCAGAAAAAGGTGGGACTACTGAACAGAATTTTCTGTTTCATAAATCCATCATGGCCACCACCAGAACTCCTGAAACTTTCATGTTAAGAAGATTTTAACTGAATGCAAAATCTATTATTTACATTTAGAAAAATCTAATGAGCAAACAGGACGAGGTTTTAACCTGGAGTTTCAAAATAAGAGTCTGTCATAGCTTGGCTTATTACTAAAGTAAATCCTGAATAATTTGCAGAATAAACCTACAATTAAACTTAAACTACTAATAGAAAATCAAACATACTTCCAGTCTTTAAATACCAAATCTATGCAATTAATAACTGATGTCCAAGTCTTTGTAAGTACTAGTCAATTACTTCTACACACTTTTATTTAGATTTAGTTATTTTGCAGGTAGATAAAGAAAATGGTAAAATTTGTTAAATAAATACATGTTTTATAAACTAGAACATTGAAATAGAAAGTTTATGTATTTAATAATAATAATAATAATAATAATAATAATAATAATAATGATGATGATGAAGATGATGACGTTCAGTTAGTCCCTCTCAGAGTTCAGATGTTCTCCTTGGGTTAGATCAAATCCTTTGTGATCATGTCAGATATGTCATGTGATGGAGGATCACTGAAGTCTTCAGCTTCTAAATCATCAGATTTAACTCTTGAAAATGAAACAAACTTCAGCCCAAAAACGTTCTGCAGCTGAAAATCCACTGAGCGAGTTCAGACCAAGGGTTTCAGAGAGCTTTCTGAAATATTCTGATTCACCCTGTACCCATCATACACACAGAGACACACACACGCATGCACACACAGACACAGTGTGAGTTTGCCTCACAAACAGTCCGTCAGACTCAGTAAAACTCCTCATGTCTCTTGACTTCAAGCATGAACACACAAACACAACATCCCCGCAGACACAGTGAGTGCCTTAACACTGAGCTGACGCTTTGCAATCTGGCAACAGTAATCCTATTACTGCACGTGTGTGTGTGTGTGTGTGTGTGTGTGTGTGTGTGTGTGTGTGTGTGTGTGTGTGTGTGTGT